CGAGATCATGACCCAAGCGAAAGCCGGACGCTTAACCGACTAAGCCACCCAGGCGCCCCTGGACTAGCCAGATTTCAAATGCTTAGTGGCTCCATGTGGGCTATTCCATTCATCAGTACAGCTTTTGCCCCTTGACAGGGTACCCCTGTTGATGGAGAACTTTTAAAAGGTTCAGGAGGGGATAATTGTATGTGTCACTGCCCCTTCCTGTCCCCTAGACCCTCCTTCTTCCTCCTTAAATAGAGATAAGTCTTCTGGTTCCATTATTTGTTCACTTTCTCCAATGGGTACTTTAAGGAGAAAACTAACATGTATTTTGGTTGATTTCAGGTTGTTTTTTGAGCCAGTAACAACCCCTTGTGGACACTCCTTCTGTAAGAATTGCCTTGAGCGCTGTTTAGATCATACACCATATTGTCCTCTCTGCAAAGAAAGCTTGAAAGAGGTAAACATTTGTGTATTTTGTCTGTTTACTTGATCTTAAGCTTGGTAATATTGACTTATATCCAGCCCAGAGAGTGATTATCATATTCAGAATAAATTATATTATGTATGCTAAGTGACCAAGAAGGATGACATTTCATTACCCAAATGTGCTGGAGAAATGTGAATTTGAAGAACATCGGGGAAGGAGGGACATCCTGGAGGCCAAGTCCCATGTACTTCATTTTTTTAACAAAGTGAGGCATGGTCAAGTACCTGGTCTAGAATTGGTCCCATTTTAGTGATGACAGTATTGGGAAAATCCAACTCTCTCCCACCCTGAATAATACCCTAGATTTCAGCCCTAGTCCTACCTCCTTTACCCATGGAACAACTCTGTCCAATAGAATTTTTTGCATTGATGGAAATTCTCCATAACTATGCTGTCCAACATGGTGGCCACTAGCTACATGTGGCAGTTAAGCACTTGAAATGTGGCCAGTGTGACTGAAGAACTGGATTTTAAATTTTTATTTTTATTTAAGTGGGCACATGTGATTGGTGGCTACCATTTCGGCAGCACAGCTCTAGTAAGTGGTAAACTGGACAGAAGAGAGGAAGGCCCAGCTTCCCACACTCCTGTAGAGTCAGTGATCAATGCTGTTAATAACCTGTGTTAGAGAAATAGCTGGATCTCGGGTGCATATCTCTTGTAACCAACGGGAAGACAGCACTTTCCCAATCCTGCTTGGGTGACCTCACCCCAGAAGGTGAGGCCCAAGTGTTCTAATTCTAGGTCCCAAATACAGCCGTAGCATTGATCAGGAGAGTGATCCTGTCTCTGGGGGATGACAGGATTGCTTAAAGGGAAAAAAAAGTCTTCCAAATATGAATAAAAAATTGATAAGTCACTTTGCACTTGCATGTACATAGTTAATTCCTAACAACTCTGTACAGATATAATAGCATATGTGTATTAAATACATGTGATAGGAGTCTTACATAACAAGCCAATATGTAAAACTTAAAATCATAAACAGAATTTTCACAAAGTCTGAAAACCCAAGACAAACTTGTTCTTAAAGAGTTTGTCACAGTTCTGCCCATACACTTCATGTTTTCAGGTGAAGTACTCTAATCATGTTGTTTTTTTCTGTGTTTCCAGAGTTTTTAGATACTCCGTAGTATATTATGCTTTTTTTTTTCAAATTAACAATTAGATATGTGGCTTTAAATTTAGAGATATCTCACCTTAAGAAATATCTGGAGTTTAAAGGAAAACAAGCATATTATTTAAAAATACAACCAACATACTGTTTGAAAATAACTTTATCGTGTGTCCTAAAGATACCCTGTATAATAGGTAAAATCTACATATATATTTTAAAAAACTTGATATACTCTATAGTTATATATTTTAAAAAACTTGATATACTCTATAGTTTTATGCTTTACTTGTCTTCTTTCATTTGAATATATTTTAAAGAGAAGATTTTTTTTATAGCAGCATACTTTAACATTTCCCTATTGTCGGGTGTGGAAGGTTTTTTGTTTTTTGGTTTTTTTGCCATGATTTACATCTTTGACTACCTCCTTAGGATAAATTTCTGGAAGGTGAATTACTGATCAGAAACCATGTATTTATAAGACTGTTAAAAACCAATTGCTGGGTTCCCTACGTCCCCTAGAAATACAAATTTAGATTCCTATTTCCTCCAAATTAATGCATGAGTATTACGTATAATATATAGCCCACTGGTTTTCAAAACGTGTTTCCCTGACCAGCAGCATCTGTATTACCTGAGAACTTGTTTGAAATATAAATTCTCAGACCCTACTCCAGAGCCACGAAAGCAGCAGCTCTGGGGTTGGGGGGTCAGCCATCCACATTTGAACAAGCCTGATTCACGCTACAGTTTGAAAACCACTACTGTTAACCTGCTTCCCAACCACTCCCATTTCCTCCTCCTCCATTCTTCATTGGATAGTGACAAACCCTTATTTTTGCTGCAACTGCAGATTAAAAGTATGGCTTCTCTTTATCTTGTGATTGTCTCCCAACAGTCCTTCCTCACTAATTTTATTAAATTCAGGTTGATCATTCTTTCATGTTCCAAAATTCTGTACCCACTCTCTGACCTGGTCCCAGCCTTCTGCAGTTTTTAATTTACCTACAGAAATACAACGTGTTTTTGTCCATAGAATATAGTGCACCATGTGGTAACTGCCTTTTATATGATAAAGGCAGTAAAAATGGGGTTCTCGGGAGACAGAAAAATTAAGGCAGACTTCAAGAAAAAGGTAAAGTTGGAGCCGGACCTTGCAGGCTTCTTCTAGGCTGGATGGAGGGGGATGGCTTTTAGCAGTTGGAATAGAGCGTGACACGGAAGTGTGTGAGTGGCCGTTTTCCCGAGTGTGAAGGGAGTGGTACAGATGTACCATTTTATATAGAGTTGGGGGGTGGATCATGTAGGAAAAGCAACCACTTGATAAGGGTCTGAGTGACAGTAGGTGACAGTGGAAGGAAAATCGTAAAGAAAAACGATCTGGACACCTGCCACTGAAATTGGGACAAAGAGATTAGTTTTGCTTTTCCTGCATAAGGCAAGTGTATTATCATCTTTATTGCTCAGCTTGTTTCTCAGTTACAATGCTAGTCTGAAGTCCCGACGAGCCGTCAGATAGAAATTGGCCTTTGGTGTGGGAGACGGCAGGGCTGCCGCTGCCCAGAAAGGATTTGAGGTCGTAGCTGGACCGGGGTCTTCTGTAGAGTGCATAGTCTATACTGCAGCCGCCTATCTTCCGTGCTTTGGGGCAAAGGCTGCACAGGCTGACCTGTGCGGCATCATTGCTTGTAATGTTCTCCCTCACATATTAATTCAGAATCAATGGTATAAATCTGTAATAAAGGCTTTACTATATTCAGTTAAACTGTTTTGCCTGTTTTCTGCCATAGGAAAAGTACTGGAGTGTAAAATAATACTGTCTTTTAGTATCTAGCAGATAGGAGGTACTGTGTGACACAGCTGTTGGAAGAATTGATAGTGAAGTATCTGCCTGATGAGCTGTCTGAGAGAAAACAAATATATGATGAAGAAACTGCTGAGCTGTCACAGTAAGTTTCTTCTCATAAAGTTAATGTGATCAAGCTCCGAGCCACCACCCCTTAACACAGTAAGGAGAGACCTCCTCAGAGCAAGCTGGATCCTGTCTCGAGTTCAACCCAGTCTAGCCCAAGGCGTATTTTCAACACATATTGGTCAGGTTCCCCTCTCCTCAACAGACAGAAGTTCTTAAAAGTTTTTTTGTAACTTCCAGACGTCCCACTGGGGGCTGCTGACTCAGCTCTTCGCACTGCGGTGGTATTTTCAGTGGAGGAGGGATATCCTATGGGGCCTCAGGTACCAGGCAGGGTGAGCAGGAAGGTTGAAGATAAACAACCTGGATTAGCAGCTCCTTTAGCCAATGAGAGGTCGGGAAGTGGGTGGGTCCTTGAGGCCTGAGACTGAAATTGCTAAGAGTGACGATTGACTGGTAGCCGACTAAGCGTCAGGAAGTAATTTGGGGATAGAGTGGAACAGACCACTACTAAGAGCGAGCACATAAGGGCTAGTTGGGGTTGGGGACGTTTGACCTGGTTTTCTTGCTCTTTATTCTTTCTTCCTTGTCCTTTGCTTACATTCTTTCCCTCTTGCTACAGTCCTAGGAGTCTCTCTCTTTCCTGAGGATTTAATTTCTTAACTCTCTCTCTTTCACTTTAACTGGACACACTAAAGGAAGAACTGCAAGTTTTACATGCTGTTTTTACGCAACATATTTTGGAAAATAATGGAAGCAAAAAGTTAGGTTTTCTTACTAAGAAAAAAATTGTGCTTGCGAACTTAGTATGTGTCCACCACATGTCTTCACTGGGCCAGTGGCCTTTGATAGAAGAATGATGTCCATTCTTTAAATTGATACTGATTTGTCTTCCGTGAAACTGTTATTTCTTTGTGATTTTATGATAGAAAATGCTCTGATAGGAGGATTATGAACTTTCTTGATCAACACTGCCAAAAGCCGGTTGCAAGAAAGCCACAGATAAGCTTTTGAAATCTCAACTATAGTGACTGCAATCTGCAAGGACAAATGAAGTAGTAACATGAGTGGGGCCGAGCGTGATGCCAACTGTGGTGCTTACTAACAGGGCTGTTTCCTTATGGGGTGCTCATCCTAAGTACTCCTCCCCTGGTACTTCAAAGTTTTGCTATTTAATATTTCCTGTCAGCATAAGAACTGAAAAAAAAAAAAAAACAAAACCCTGAATGGAATGCTCAGTGATAGTAGATTACACATTTTTAAAAGAGGAGCTAATGCTTGTATTACTTTTACATAATTATGTCTTTTTGAAGAAAAGCTAGAAGATACTATACATTAGCAGGGGTGGGAAAGGTCATAATCTATAACCCAAAAGGAATTACTGTTGGCATTTTGGCATATATCCTTCCAGGTTTTCATATGTAACAATTTTAATCCTATTCGTCTAGAACCTTTATTTTTTCCAAGTCAGCCGTACATACACACAAATCTAAGTGTGCATATCTTAAAATGACAATATGGCATTTCATTTTATGGTTTTGTCCGTTTGCTAATCCCCTAAGTTTTGGTTACTGTACCCAATATTACAGTGAACATTCTTTCGAGTACTTGTACAATTTTTTCTAGAAGTTTAAGGGAGACGAACTTTTTAAAGTGTTTGCCAGATTCTTCTTCACTATGGTTGTACGGTTTCAAACCGCCCTCTGCACTGCCAGTCGCTCCCAGACGCTTGCCAGAACTGCGCGTTACTGTTGTCCTTCGTCCTGCCAATCAGGCAGCGAAAGATATTCTATAATTTTAATTAGAGAAAATGTTACTGACTTATGTTTTTGATAGTGAATTTGAAAATATATTAATGCACTAGGAATTTTAATGATTTGCTTTTCATGTACTGTGGGAGCTCAATTTTTCTTATAAGTAACAGTATTTTAACAGAGCAAGACAAAATACTAACTATACTCTTGATTCATAAATTCAAATTTAGTTTTATAAATGTTGATGAGTGTCACGAGCTTCAGTCATTTTTGTGGTATGTTCTGATGTATGATATGAAATTTTCTTCTTCAGCTTGACCAAGAATGTCCCAATATTTGTTTGCACTATGGCCTACCCCACTGTGCCTTGCCCTCTTCATGTATTCGAGCCAAGATACAGACTGATGATTCGAAGAAGTATACAAACCGGAACTAAACAGTTTGGGATGTGTGTCAGTGAAACTCAGAATAGGTATGTTTTTGTATGTAAATATTTCTGTTTATATTGGACCGTGCTTTGAATATTGAGAGCTCCCATGCTTGCTACTTGAACTTGGCTATTAATCACAATTTTTCCTTTAGTTTTGCAGATTATGGGTGTATGCTACAAATTAGGAATGTACATTTCTTACCTGATGGAAGGTCTGTGGTGGATACAGTTGGAGGAAAGCGGTTTAGGGTTTTAAAAAGAGGAATGAAAGATGGATACTGCACCGCAGACATTGAATATCTGGAAGATGTTAAGGTATGAAATGTCTCTTTAGCACACCTTGGCATACTCTGTCCTTGGCCTTGTGTAGGCTGATATTCTAGGCACTTAATTGTCTCAGAGACCATCGTCGATATTTATACAAGTTAGCTCCCAGTTACCTTTCTCTCATTTTGCTCTTACTCTGTGTTGACTTGGAAGTCTAGAACAGTTCCTCTTCATTTCCGCCGACTCCCCAACCAACGTGGTGCCTAGAATGTATGTGGACATGGTGGGCACTTAACAGCAGCACTCGATTTGGTTGAGCTCGGAAGCCATCTATGTTGTGAAAGCTGCTAATCCCTGCCCTTTTTAATTGAATTTATTAGTAGTCAAAACTGATGTAATCAGCAGATTGAAATGGAACATAAAGGCAAAAACACACTGAATCCTTTCCAAACTGTTCTAGATGTGTCTGACAGAACCTTAATGATAACATCGCCACTGTGAGATGAGGTGTTTAAACTCTACAGCATCACAGAGAAAGTACTATCACTAGACTGTCTTCCCTGCAGTGCATTATTGTGATAATCTTCTTGCAAAGGGTCAGTGTGGGCCCTTTCATGTTTCTAGTATCTCATTCACCATCTAAAATTCGTTTAGGTATCAGAAAAATGATTTGTGATGCTATGAATATCAAATTAAAGGCCGTTTCTTTTGGAAGGGCATTGTAAAATCATTGATCATATGCTCTCTCTGTTCATTGATTTGGGCCCTTCATTTGAATACTGGCATTAGGCACTTCTAACAACATTAACTCTTTGAATTTTCAAAACTCTGAGATACTTAGATGAGGAACAGAAGCTCCCAAAGTGGTCATTAATAGGTCTAAGATCCTATAGGTAAAGTCATAAAAATGATTGAAAGCTAGCTTTCCGGCTCCAAGTGCTGTGCATCGTCATTATGCCATATTGCCTCTCTGATAAACTTGATTAGTCTGATATTTCCTGTCCTGTCTTATTATTAAGATGCTAGCTAGAGGAAGACTTCTTTTTCGTGCAGTAGGTCAAAAGTGTTGTGTGAGTTGAAATTTTGAGCTGCTTGATAGGGTCCTTGCCTTAAGCATGCTTAGTTAAGGGAGTCATTTGCTAAAGGCAATATTCTTTGGAAGTTTACATCTTCACATTTGGATTTGATGACAAAATCCCTTGAGTATGGCCAATCATATGACTAGATGGGAACATATGACAATAGAATAGCATATTGAAAGCATTATGGGTTTGGCATTTAGAAAGCGCTTGCTGTCTTTGAAGTCTTAGGAATGTCTAATAATTTTTCCTCATCTTAATGTCTCATCTTTGTAATGATTTCTTGTCCCTTCTGGAAAAGCTTCTCAGATTTCATAAGCAAAGTCTTTTTTCCCCCATAAAGTTCTGCCTGCTTTTTAGCCAGTTCCTTTTTCCATCTCAGACACTTCTCATTTTTGTCATTATTTTCTAGAGCCCATGGTTTGTTTCCTAGAATTTTGTAAGGACGTAACAGAGGTTTTGTTTTTTTAATAGTCTTCACAAGTCATAAGTTTATTTCTAGCTTATGTTAAGACCAGTGTGTGTTAGCAGGCGACTGAGTTTTATATGGTCATTCCAAGACCATAAGTCTTCAACTCATGGCTCTACCTTTTCATTACGTAACTATGATTAAACTGATAAATTTTGTTATATAGTTCAGTGGTATTAAGTACATTCACAGTGTTGTGCAAAAGGCAGGTGTTTTTTAGTTTTATTTTTCATTTCAAATCTTCCAGAAATAAAAAGTATGTATTCAGAGTTCCCTTTGTTTTATAGTGAGTCATTCGTGAAATCTGAAAGGCTGAGTCAGGCCTGGTATTTGTTCAGATGAGTTAATGTATATGAACTAGAGCACTCCCCGGCCCAGAGTGAGTGGGATAGAAGTGTGTGCTACAGAAATCAATAGAAGATGCAGGAGTTAATGCTCTACTTCATCTCCTGTGTTCTGTGAGACTACTAATTCTGGATCTGAGGCTGCAAGGCAGATGCATTTAATTTTATGTTCACAGTTTGGTGATCTGAAGGGTGCGAGGAGCAGTGATGGAGGTAGCCACAGCCTTGGCCTTTATATATAAAAAAAAAAATCATTGCATAATTTATTCTCTTTTGATAGACTGGTTTTCTTTGCTAAGTTTCTTACTGTGTTTTGACCCAGTTCCCTGGTAAAGGGTATCATTATGTTTGTTCTCCATCCTATTACTGCTTTCTGCCAGGTTATCTCTGCTTTAAACCTCCCCAGTCTTCCCTTTTACTGCAGTGACTATATTCTTGTTCCACTGTTTTCAAAAGCCATTAATCCATAGAGACAAAAAGGAATTCTAAATTCATGCAGACCTTCATCCGAGAACTCACGCTCAGTTGTGCCCTTCCCAGCTGGAGGCCGGCAGTAGTCTTCTGCAGGATTACATTGCTTCATCGACAAGGCCGGGCAGCGGTCAAGCCTTGTGGCGTCTCTTTAGTCTGGCCCTCGGCGCTCTGTGAGGAAGAAATATGTAATATATATTGCAGAAGAATACTCTGATCCAGCACTGAAATTGGGGTTGCCAATTAAAAAATGTTTTTCATTTCTGTTGGGTAGGGGATATGGACAGGAAGGCTAGATGCAAGTCTTACAAACTGCTGTGTTTCCAGGCCGAGGACGAAGAGGAGGTCCAGAGCCTCCGGCAGCTCCATGACCTGGTATACTCGCAGGCCTGCAGCTGGTTTCAGAACTTGAGAGACAGATTTCGAAGCCAAATTCTTCAGCACTTTGGCTCAATGCCTGGGAGGGAGGAAAACCTTCAGGTATGATGACTTTGATACTGTTTCCAAGAGTCTCACTGTTTTCTTAATAAACTCAAATTAAGGGAGTTTTAAGGTTTTTTTTTTTGTTTTCCTTTTTGCACAGCCTTTGAATTGATGACCATACTTCCAGAGCAGTGGTGTCTGCTGCTGTTTGTAGGGGAAGGGGATGGGCAGAGCTGACGGCTGAGGGGTCCATAGCTGTGACTGCACAGGAGGAAAAAGCCCTTCCCTGACAATTTGCTCAAAGGAGGGAGAGGGGATTAAAAATGGGACATTCTAGTAAATTGTTGGGAGAGCTATCATTTCTGCATTTTCTAGAAGTCTTTTTTTTAACCTCTCCTTTTATCTCCATGTGTCTCTTCATGTTTAATACTTCGCTCCTCATGAAGTTAGTGTTCTGACAGTCTTGCTCACGTACGTAGGGTTGATGCTTAAGCTTAATCTGGTCAGCATATAGCAGATCTGTGCAGTAGACACTGTAAGATGCACAAAAAGAAGCGTCCCCGTTCTGGAAAATCTGATGGTAGACTCATTGAAACACTTTTAGACAAACATTTTGAACTGAGTGTTTATGGTCAGAAGGTAGGTTTCATAATGAAATGGCTATAAATAAATACATGGAGAGAGAACAGGGCTCACTGTGATGGACACTGCCTCTCATTCCAGTTTTCAAAGGTTGGCCTAAATCTGTCTGAATCCCAATTGAGTCCTTCACCTGAACTTGCGATTATAAGATCAGATCATCTCCAAGTTGAGCACTCATTCAGTATCCTACATATTATCAGTTGCTCATGTTTGTTTTATCTTGGTTTCCTAAATCTGATAAAACTTGATAGAGATAGCCTTTGAGCAGCATAAAATTAAGTATATTTTAAATGTAAAAACTCAACTTTCACCACTCTCGCCTTTTATGATTCAGTCCTCTACCACTGCTTCGTTAGTATTATTGTGAGTCAGGACTTGGTCAGTGAAACAAAAGCAGCCACTTGTGTATTATCCAGGCATGGAGGGGGTGCTGTGAGATGCAGAGCCGGAGGAGTGAAGCTCAGGGACGTCACGGAAGGAGGACAGGGCACCTGACCCAGGGGAGCCCTGTGCTTCTCAGGAACTTGTGGGGAAGCTTCTGTATTTCTTAGGAGTACGAGGGAGGTACCCACCAGTATCTCAGTCTGAAGCACTGTAGCAGGTGGTTAAGAATTCTCTGGAAGGCTCCTGCAAATCTGTCAACACTTTGCAACAGTCTCCAGAGAACAGTGGCTTCTTCTCTTCCAAATTTCACAAGATTATGCCTCTCCCTGGCCAAGTCTATGCCCAGAACCATGTGAGGGAGGGGATTCGGGGAAATGTTTCTGACCTCTCTGAAATGCAAGAAGGCTGGGTGGTGATGCTGAGCGGAGATGAGATGGTACACAAATATGGAAATCTCATGGGATTCTGGAGGGAGCTTATGGAGATCAGCATTAACCTCAGGGGCTCCTATGGTCATTCTGAAACTTCAGATTTCAGGTTCAACAAAAAGCAATTTGGGGTGCAACAGAGATGGCTTAAAATTGTTTTGTATAACATATACATAATTATACTCTCAAAAGAAGAGGAGAGAAAAAGCAGGAAATATCTTAGAGTAATAATTTATGATATCTGCCCAAATTTGATGAAAAGTGTCAATCTCTCGTTCGAGACCACTAACAGACTCCAAGTAGGATAAATACAAAGATATCCTCACCTAGATACGCGGCAGTAAAACTGAATAAAAGAAACAGAAAATCTTGAGAAAAAAAGTCCAAGTTCTTCCACTGGCCAGTAGTCAGCCCTTGCCACATCCGAAGGACTTCTCTGATGGAAATGCTGATTTTCTCAAACAAAACTAGAGGCTGAGACCTTTTCTTATATCTTGCCTAGGATTCCATGGTTCTTTGAAGACACTTTTAAATGTTAATTAATGTTTTAAATATGTATTTTCAGAAAGAAGCTCTCAATTAGGACAGTTTTGTGGCACATTTGGCAGCCTTATTCTTTGACAGTTTGGGAGATGTATCGTTTCCTATACTTTTTATAAAAAAAGTCTTTTCTCACTAACTTTTTCCCTTGCTGCTTCAATTTATTTGTGACTCTATCGCATGTAACGTTTTCACTCCTCATGAAATTGAAGATAGTTAGCACCGTCACAGCTGGGAGGTGCCATTGGCATCTTATTGGATAGACGTGAGAGACACTGCTCAACATACTACCAGAGCGCAGGGCGGTTCCTGCAATGAGGAATTTTCCAGCCCCAAATGTGAGCGGCCTGCATCCAGGCAGTGCGGTGCCAAGGACAGAGTGTCGGCCGTGGACGATTTACATTTCTGATCTTCGGTTTCCCCATTTTATAGGGGCACAAGAGCCTTCCCTACATGGTTGTTAAAAGAGTTTGAGATACGATCAGATAGTCAAGTGCTCAAGGAAGACGAGCTTGTTGGTTTGTAATTGTTTTTGTCACAGACGTATATTGTACTAATACTGTAAACTGTTGATTATTTTTAGGCGACCCCTAATGGACCCGCGTGGTGTTGGTGGCTTCTTGCAGTTCTTCCCGTAGATCCCCGATACCAGCTGTCGGTTTTGTCAATGAAGTCTTTGAAAGAACGGTTGACAAAGATACAGCATATACTCACCTATTTTTCTAGAGACCAATCTAAGTAACTAACTGCTTGGATCTTCCTTTAAAGTTACCCTAATCTGGCCGTGTTGACAGCCAGATTGTCTGCTGCCTTTTGCACATCCAGTGCTGGTTTGAGAAATGTAATGAAACTTTTTTTCCTTCAACCTCCTGAATCATGTGGTTCTGCAATGATTACCTTCAACTAGGACTTAGACCACTAAGAACTTGCACAGAAAAACACGCACTGAATGTGTGTTAAACCTCTACATTGTGATGAAGTTGCACTATGTACCATATTCTAAAACGAAATGAGAACTGTGTGTATGTGGGGTGTGTGTGTGTGTGCGCGCGCGTGTGTGCATTTTCTCTGGCTTTAAAATTTTAAAAGAAAAAAAAGCCATAGAGAGCAGAACTTGCTGAGGGTTTTTACTGCCCAAGTTTACAACAATAGCGATACAAGTTTTTGCAAGTTGAATTTGCCTCAGATTTATCTGTCCTAATGCTTCTATTTGCACAAGTATGTAAACTATGGTATTGAGTATCACTCTGTTGGAAATCCTGCTCTTGCTGAACTGTCTTGACCATTGACTATGACACAGTTTCTTATTTATGTAAATACTTGCATCCTAGTGGCCAACAGGCTTCGGATGCAGAACCTAGAGCCAGTTTTCAGGAACAATTGCAAACCTGCCATGGTACTGTGCATCTATTCATAAAACACTTAAAACTGTGAAAATATGGTTTACATTTAATTGTACATAAAGGTAAATGGAGAACTCAACTCAGTACCAGTTAGTTTGTACATTTTAGGGGGCTTTTCACATCAACTGCCCATCTATATAATTTATAGTTTGACATGAGGTGTTTAAAAAAAATTACCTAGTATAAACCCATTAAGGATCTGGGGAAAGAGAAGAAGCTTAATATAGAACTAAGCTTTTAAAGTATGTTTTATTTCTTAATTCTGGTCTTGGTGCAGATGTTAGTTATGCCTTATTCATATCACAATTAGATCACCATGCTGTGCCATGGTTTATATTCATGCTGCCCTAGATACTTTTGTAATTATTTGTTGCAAACTTGTGACTGTCCCTATTAACTTTCTTTTATGTAAGTACTTTGTAAAAGTTTCTTAAACTTTTGCTTTTGCTTATTTAATTTTGAATAAAAGCTAAATTCATAATTTTTTCTTAAATTTTAGGTCAATATCAAAGAACAGATGAGTTTTACTGTTTTGTGACATGAGATAAGCTTATAGCTTTCAAAATACTGTAAGAAGAAAAGAATCTGAAGGAGGCTTCAGGCCCTAGAACAGTCCTTTAAAGTACTATTTTTCAACATTTTAAAAAAGCCATGTCCCTTTAGGATAAAGATAAAACTTTTCATGTTACCCCTATTTGAGACCATTAAATAGACCTGACTATTTCGAGCCCCAATTTCCCAGCTAGGGTTTTCCAGATATAAATAAATCATTTTAATAGTATTTTTATAAAAATATGTTCAGAAATGACTGCCTGGAAGACCACCCTTTGCCCCCACAATTACACTAATTGAAAATCTCCAGAAAATGTTGTCTAAAGAATGGGCCATTCCCCGAAAGTTACCTTACCGATAGTCCTGAAGTGTTCAACTTTCTTATAAGAAACTATTAAATGCCTGTTAAGTAGTGTCTGGATAGTAGCATACATGCAAAATTTACCTGTAGTTCTCAAAGCATGTACGAGAAGGAAGTAGGATTTACCCAGTGCCGAATCTACATCTGTGGTATGTGCATGCCCATACCCACAAACGGGCATTAAATGATCTCTTTCTGTAGAGAGCTATGATACTAATGGGAATTCAGAATACTAGTTTTATCATTTGACTCTAATTTGTAATGAATGTTTTGTTACTCTGTGTATACATTTTTACATCTCTGGACAGTTTTGTTTTTTCCCTACTGCACTTTATGTGCCATTTATCTAGAGAGGGAAAAAAATACATATCTGACAGACTGTTACCCTGATCACTTTAAGTGACTAAGTTCTGTCACTTTTCAACATTTCAAGTCAGA